ATTTAGGCTGGCTTGATGGATATGGACTAAATGCAGGCAGCCAAATTTGGTTGATTTGTCCACCGTCCAGAATCCAGTGTCCAGTGGCAAACTCTTGCCTAATAGTAAGATTGCATTGGAAGATTGCGTGGAAAGTTGCCCGTCGCATGTATTGTTGCGAAGATGGCGGGCGTTGCGGATGCGGGACGTTTTGGACTTTTGAGACATGTTGCGACGTGAGATGCCGAGGCGAGCTGAAGAGGGAGATGGGCGAAGAGAAGATGGGGGGATATGATATGTCGCGGTGGTGGCGAATCCGAATCGGCCTGTCCATCACGCATTGGCATGGCGTGGGACGGCGGCGACGTTCAATGTAAGTATACGGCTGGAGGTCGTCGTTAGAGCAGGTACGCGTCGACGGGGAATACTACATTGGTCTCTGTCCGCACTCAAGAAAAAGTGGTCGTCGGACGTCCAGCATCGCTCGCACAGGATAGGGATTTGGACATGACATCGCACCTCACCTGTCCATCAGCGCACCCATCGGAATCCTAATCCGGTATCTGGGGTCCCGCGCGCCAATCTGCATCTCCGGTGGGTATTAGACGCGAGGGAATTCGCTACTCGCTGCTGGACACTCCCACCACCCTCTTTCCCCCCATCATCCACCTACCCTTGTCTGCCATCGACAGTGTCGACGACTGACCGCCATGTCTAACAATTCCACCGCCGCTGTCGACCCGCTCTCGCTTCTGCCGCCTTACCTCGACCTCCCGCCCCACCTTTCCGCCCACAAATACTTTTTCGTCTGCACGCTGACAGTCGCTGCATGGGACACCCTCGTCCTCTCTCCCCGTACATGGAAGCTCTTCAAGAGCAAAGAATGGCCCCTCATGAAGATCGCCTTCTACTTCCTCCGCCTCCTCATGCCCATCGAATTCATCATTGTCGGTGCGTAGCTACAAACCACACATAAATGCATCCTCCTAACTCCTCTTACAGCCGTCGCATTCTTCGATACAAAATGGACGACAGAGATGTGCCAAAAATTCTTCCTCTTCGAGCCCATCCTCACCGGCATCCTCGTCTCCGTCTGCTCCGCCGTCCACCTCATCCGTGTCCGCGCCATCTATGACAAATCCCAGCAAATCACCATTCTCCTCGGCACGCTCCTCCTCGTCCAGGTCTGCATGATGGCCGTCGCCTGTGGCTTCTACCATGGTAAATCCCTTCCTTTGACTCGCCAATCAGCGCTGTGCTAATTCGTTTTGGCAGTCGTTCCCGTAAGAGACCCCTCGCAAGGCTGCATCGCCGGCCCGAAGCACAACTGGGTTGGAATCTACTGGGTCGGCCCCACCCTCTTCTTCACCACCACCTTCGGACTCGCCCTCGCGCGCTCTTTCCAGTCCCGCGCCCAGCGCCCCATCGGCCTCTGGAAGCTCATGCTCCGTGATGGATTGAACCTCTACGGCGTAAGCACCTCCTCCCGTAACCTAATATAATGCAGTCGCTAACGCCCGCTCACAGGCCGTCTGGATCGTTAACATGGTCAACATGCTCTTCTGGTTCATCGTCACCCCCACCGGACCCGAAGACACCATCAAAACAATCGTCACCTCCATGGCCGCCGTCCTCACCATCACAATGACGATGCGCATCATCCTCTCCGTCCGCGGCACCCTCGTCTCCGGCGGCTCCTTCGCCGGCTCTTCCTCCGCCCCCTCTTCGCACTCGCACAGCCGCTCAGCAAACATCCCCGGCGTCGCGGCCGCGCGCTCTACGGGCACCACTGGCCCGGTGTTCAGCATCAACCCCGTTGCAAGCCAAGGGAGACAGGCGTACAACCTTGAGGAGATTAATGGCAAGCCGGAGGCGGACTGGGACCACGATGGGAAGAGCAGCGTGAACGGGGGCGTTGTGGAGGGGAAGACGGAGGGTCTTACGGGCGCGCCGGAGCAGGAGAGCGGGATTGGCGTGAAGGTGACGGTTGAGAGGCAGTTCCAGTGAGGGGTTAACGGTTGTTGTTGATGCCTGCTTTAGGGCGGGCTTGTGCGCGACTAGTGGGCTTCTATGCGCCTGCTGGAGTGCAGCGTAAAGTAAAGTGTACATTATGGTACAATATCTTCCTCCATCTCCTCATATCTCCTCCATCTCTTGATTTATTGTGCTCTCATCTCGTATTCTTTATTTTTGCTTTCATATCTCTATTTGCTTTCTATATCGATAATCTACTGCGCTCTGCAGGGCAGATTACATACTAGCTATTAGTTATTACTTAGCTGCACATACATACATACATATACATACATTCAGATACCAAGATGAGGACTGTATCGTTAAACCTCCTGTGATTATGATTTATCACAATACATATTGGAAGGGATGTAAATTACTAAATGTTGGGATTATGGGTTGTACGTTAGGTGTTTTTTTCTTACTTTTAAGTATGTACGTAGGATTGCAATGCGATGTGCGTGGGATTGTGCACCAAGTAGTCAACTTCGAAGAGCACCAGCGGCCGGTACGCAGCAGTCCGACTCTGAAGTCCAGCGCACGGTACACATACTATTACGAACGCCACAATCACGCCCACAAGTCAGCACTCAGCCCTGATCTCCACCCCAATATGCATCATGCTCCAGACCATCAGTAATCCTAGTAAAACACCAAGCCCAGCACGAAGACCCGAACCGCGAACCACCGTCAGCATCACCCGCACCACCATCAGCCCAAGCCCGGGGCCATTTGCGCATGCCAGGCGGGAGCAGGAACGCCTGGGCCGACCGAGAGCGTGACGATCGAATTGACGATCGAATCAGCCTTATTCGTCTAAAAGTCCATCAAGGCGATTGCGATCGGCATATGTGGCGTTCTGCAGTCTGTGTTCTGGAAGCGGCGGGGAAGAGGGGTGCTTGGCGGGGTGGGCGGGGGATGGAGGCGGGGTAAGGATATGGGGTTTTTTTGGCTCATTGACTTAGGGTGTAGAGGGAAGGGAAATAGGGAATTAACGTGATCTGATATATATTTACGAGGAATTAACACCCTATAGCACTTTGGGGACGAAAATAGAGAGTTTGCGCAAGAGCGCCGGCGCTTTCTGGCGCTATTTCACTATAAATACTACGAGACTCAACCGTGTAATTATGAGGATTATATGAGAAATGTCAACCTTTTAAATATTGCTTCAACTTCATTATGGACATCAGAACGAACAAAGAAGCAGAGGAGACGTGTTCGGAAAAGCGCCAAGAAAGCGCCGGCGCTCTTGCGCAAACTCTCTAATACGTTTGGTTTCAAGTTAGCGAGGGCGGTGGTTCAGACGGGAGATGGGTGGGTTTGAGGTTAGGTACGGAGATGTAAGGAGATGTGCGTATATTCTGGAGTCGTCGACTTAGTCTACGGAAGGCTGTGTCGAAGATTAATAGCTGTACAAACTATCTGCCACCGAGCCTGAGGCCTGAGGGAGTGTGCCATTTTAAGATAATTTATCCTAGTTTCTGAGACACGTCCCAGTAGTATTACGGCTGAGGCTCGTTGTCGTTTACTCGGTGGGGGTCCAGTTGAAGTCGTCAATATGATGCAACAGCGCTCTCAGCCTGAGCTCTACATGAGTGGCGGGGATCTTGTTTTCTTGCCTTGATTTATTTTTGAAATCGAGGATGGTGATTATCAATGGGCTCCAAGTTAGGCTTGGGGTCGAGATGAGGAAGGGAGGCATGAAGGACGTGATAATTGATTTCTGATTTCTGTCGATATAGGAGAGGTAGAGAAGGACAAAAATATGCAGCGTAATTTCTGCCATCCATCGACTCTTGAGAGACTACACGAAGGTGGCATTCGAGCGATAGATTCAATAGACATCTCCGCGAGTCGGAAATGGACTCGATTCGAGTTGGGCTAAGCGTGTGCAGTAGTGTACCTCGTGGCGGGACCGGGGAGCTATTATTTTCGCTTTCCGAGTCGTTTGAGTTCAGGCGTCGACGTGTCGTCGAAAACTCAGAACAGTTTAAATTGCGCACGGAACGATAAAATGAAATTAAATCATACAGATGATTCTCGATCTTGACATCATCAATCAACGCAACCATAAAATGTCTAAATAAGTTTGAACAACCTGGATCATTGGCAGGGCTTGTCATTCAAATACTCAAATGGTCAAAAAGCTGTAGCCCCACGGGGGGGTCGAACCCCCAACCTTGAGATAATCACTTTAGCTCACATTTTGGTCCCCTAAGGACAGCATGTAAGAGTCTCACGCTCTACCGATTGAGCTAGCAAGGCGATATGAAATTCCGAATCCATCGAGACCTGTCAATGGAGTTAATGTACTGGGTCCCGAGTTGCAGGCCTGACGCCGGAGGAGCTTTCCGTCGTTAATCAATCCACAGCTGTCCGAAAGAGCGTAGAATACTGTTACTGTGAGAATACGTTAATATGAGCATGAAGCCGTACAATGACTCCGAATGAAGCTAGCTAGCCTACCGCGAACTTGCCTCGGAATTTGAGCCTCGACGTCCTTCCCAGTGGTCTGACCGAGTTTATCGCAGACTTGTAGCGATAATATTATGAATACCTAAAGGAAGAAAATTTCTAGTAAAATAGCTTTTGCCACCCTCCCGCCATCCACAATCAATGTGGCATTTAAATTAGAAAAAATCCCGAACGAATCTCTTCCACAGACTCTCTGACTTCCTGGGCGGTGGATTAACGTCCTTAGCCACCTAATGCCCTGTTTCTCTCGAAGGTGGGATTTTAGGGTCGAGTTATTGGCGACTTAGTGTTCGGATGCAGCTGTATATACGTCTTCATGTTGGCGGAATCCTGCTTTTGTTTTGAGGTTAAAGGTTTAACTATGCTTGGTGAACTGACGAGACGACTTGATTTCTGATTCTCACAAGAGACCGGTGGCATTTTACTTACACATCAGTAAGTCCCAGACAAATCCCATTCACATTTTGATATATCCGTTAAGTACACATACGTAGCCATTCATTTTATCGGTTCTCGGTATCAATTATGATGGTCGACAGAGAAGTGGTAGGAAAACAGTGGCGGACATCTCGCTGGTACTTGGTGCCACCTGTCCACTGCCGAGAGTCCAGGGGATAAACATTCGGTTACTTCCAGCCTCTCCGTACAGAGACAATGGGCCTAGAGTAAAGTCATGGCCTTCTGGTACATTCTCGGCGATCGACAGGGTCGGCCATTCTAATAAAAATACGCTCGGAGGAGATGAAAATGTACACCGCGTCTCTTCTCACCCCGCCATAACTTCCTTCCAGCTCCCTCTCCAGCTTCTAAGTTGTAACCAGACAGGAAATAATCCAGACATCCTCCGCCCATCGACATCTGAGTCGCATTTGATTTTGAGCATATTACTTAACAGTGGGGCAGTGGCGTCATGGAAAAAGTTGACCAACTTGAAGGGCTTGAGAAACTGAATGAAGATATTATGAGGGCTCTTATACTCGATGTTATACCTGAAATGAAGACTGTGCGGACACTAACCCAGGTTACGAAGCGACTGCGTTCAGTCGACACAGAGCGCTTGTTTGCCAGACAGGTGGAGCGTCAACCGGGGTCGTATTATTCCTAAGAAGAATAAAGATAAATAGGATGAAAAGGAGATCCCAGCCGCCGCAAAAATGAGGGATCGCTATCCTCCTGAGCAGGTAATAATTAAGGTATGATACATATGCGTCTAAACACGTATATATTCAAATAACGACGAGACAGGCAAATATATTATTCATTCATTGTACCGGTCCAGCTATACTCAATAATGCTATCGATTTCGAACTTGAAGCTGTGTTTACTGAACTCATCGGGGTGCGAACGGTCCTCATCCATGGCAATCACTGGCAGAGTGAGACATTGATACCTCTGCTTGCAAAGATTCCCAAACTAGAAGATGTGTCCTGGTTCAATGCGGCATTCCAAGATGCTAATATTAAGCCTTTGACGGGCCTCAAACGCCTGTATTTCCAGTACAAAGAGGATGATGGGCACTACCTTTCGCCCCACCCAGATTACCCGCAGCTTCAGTTACAACGGGGTGAAAATGTCCTTCGCCAGATTATTGCGTCCTCACAGACACTCTTAAGTATATCGTTGGACGGCGTGCTTTTGCCGCACTGTCATAGGATTAACGATCGCGGTACCACCTTCTCCAATCTGACGGCATTCACACTGGTCGATCCCATCAGGGTTCCTCGAGATCAGGAGCAAGATGCATTTTTTTTTAGTAAACCAGCCAAGTTATTTTGGATTGCACCGGGGCTAGAACATCTGACATTCCGACACAGTGATTCCCAATACTTGATAATGCCTCCAGACAAGTTCAAGTCGGCGGTGGATAGAAGCACAATCCCCAACCTTGCCTCCTTAACCGTACACAATGTCGCAGATACAGACGATGACCTCTTCCTATCCTCCTTGCCTCGCACAATTCGTTTCCTCAGTCTGCCGATGGATACATATCCGGAGCAGCTTAGGGACCTCTCACGATACGTATGGCGCGGCACGCTACCCTCCTTGAAAATGGAAGATGTACTGTGATTCCTGGTTTCTCTTGTCAATCTGGAAGAGCTGCGAGTAGCTGCCAGAGGTGTCGTCTCTCCCACGCAGTTTTCAGCGTTTATTGAGGCTCTACCCAGGTTGAAGATATTCGAACTGCATAATTGGCCATCTGAGGATTTTCCTAAGAATTATAACACCGTAAGGAGATTTATGATCTTGTTACTTCAATAACTCATGTTCTTGCCACCCTCTTAATCAGAATGATTTTAGAGCAGTAATCAGCGGACTTCAGACCGTAGAAGAATTAAGGCTAAACCTAAATTTATCAGATATGTTTCATTTTCCCCCTCATAAGGAGGCACTATTCCTCACCTCCCACAAATCTGCACTGAATATATCGCCGGAGATGGTCCATCGAGGTTACGGAGAATAGGCTTCCCGAGCCATGTCTATAAAGATTACGGAGTCAAGTACGCCCATCGTAGATATTGGGACCCCTATGACTTTGTTCGGGACAGTAGCAAGATTATTTCAGGGCAATACATCTGGATCAATCCAAGGACGAGTTCACGTATGATAGGTGCGCCGAGATCATGATTTCCCCCGTCTCCATACGATACTAATTTAGTCATACCACCAGATTGACTTACTAAACGACTTCGGACTTGGAGTCGTCAGCAGTGACACTGAATTGCTAGCAAGCAGTTCTTTTCCCTTTAATATGACGTATGAGACTCCGTTTATCTTCGTTTAAATAACCGTTCGTATGAATCCGCGTGTGTCATTGTGACTTTTGTATCGCCAATTTAATCACGTTACACCGTACACGTTAATAGTAAGCTACAACGTGCAATCTGATTCAACGGTGTGATTCGAGTCCAGTAGGAGTGAGCTTAGCACTCCACCTGTGCCTTCGTGGCGAGACCGCGGAGCAATTGCAAATGACGTTGGGAACTCAGAACACAGTTCTGTAAGGAAGGTCGAATGATATGGATTCAGATGATTCACTGTTGAGACATCGATTCATCCTTCGAGAAAGGTCTTGCTATAATTAAAGCATTAAAGTGTAAGGAATACAACCCGGATCGCGAGCGGTTTGAGCGTGGATCGTCATGATTTAACTTGTTAAAAAACTCTAGTCCTACGGGGGTGGTCGAACCCCCAACCTTGAGATTTACATAACTCACAATACAGCCAGTTAAGGCATATATTGCATGTAGGAGTCTCATGCTCTACAGATTGAGCTAGCAAGGCGGTGTGAAGTGTCCTCGGGTGTACTGGTGACTGAAGCTCTCCTTCCGTAATCTACAGCTATCGAAAGAACGACGAATACCAATACAGTCAAGGCAAGGTCCTTGTCCCAGGATATCCTAGAGCCTCATTCTCCATACTTTATGTCATTTTTTTATCTGAATAATATGATCATAATCTATACTATAATATGAAAAAAGACGAGGAGCAATTGAGCTACTGCTGCCTGAGATATAACACATAATCTAGGAGATATTAAGCATGTTCCGGGCAAACCAAAATATTTTGACTCTTTGGCCTCATTAAATCACACAAATACTTTCAATTTATCTTACACAATGAGCCTATAGCGCTGTAAATTGAAGAACCTGCCAAGAAAATATAACATTGAATGGTATTCAAGTGTGGGATGATCAATTTCCGATGATAGGTGATGAGAGTGTGACACTACCGTACAACATGCACACATGCACTCATACTATAATTCTATGCATATTGACAATAATATTTTATAGTATATCACATATGATTAATTTTTAATTTAATTAGTGCCACTAATGTATATTAAAGACAAGGATAGGCCAATTGGGCGTTGGGACAAGGAGTGGTTTGTCACATTCTGTGACAGCAACTCTCTCCCAAGCCAGTACCTCCAAACACTGGTGAAATCATCCAATTATTTTATGTAACATACTTTGATATGTACAGTATCCGAAAATCAAAACATATCATTGAAGACTTTCGAAAAAAATATTTGAGAGCCCGATTTCATAGTGTTGGGACAAGGATCGCGCCTTGACTGTACTGTGGTTAAATCTCGTCGACTTCGAACCTTGAGACTTTAATGTTCATTAATCATTTCCATACCCGGTTGATCTCTGTGGAGGAGAAAAGAGCAAAAATATCTTCCGCGCCGGGGAATCGAACCCCGAGCTGCTGTGCACCTTTCAATATGAAAGACAGCGATGTTAGCCATTACACCAGCGCGGACACATTAATTAATCCTACGAGTACCATGAGGTTACATCATAGTAATATGACAGTATCCCAATTATGAAGGATAATGGAAGGTCGCATGCCTATCATTCCAATCCGAGTAAAAGAATAGCCTGAATAATCCAACTGGATGTCATGAGAGCTGAATAGGAAACTGGTGCCTCTTCTAATTCAAATTTACAATACTTCTACAAAGTAAAGGAATGCCGGTTGCTACTCAATGCCAAGAACCCCAAGTGCCACTGATATACCCATTACGTCCTCAACTCAACTGAATACTCTATTCTATTTAATTTTAAATTCAGTTGGCACGCTACTTAGATGCGAGCTCGATATTCAGAAGACGTTACGTTACTTACACTGATGAAGCCTCTCGGACGCGAATTCCTAATGGGTTCCCAGAGACCGCAGCAATATTTCAATACCGCCTCGATTCGTACCTCGGACTTCTCACTGTGCAGTAGGCACAATCCATGAAAATGAACACATATGTCAATGTCCATCCAACCCACTCC